TGGTCTTCATGGCATTATTTCAGCCAATTTAAAACCAAAAAGGGGATTTACACATGGAGGAAGGGGACATGGCTGTGGAATTAAATGAATACCTGGCAGAGGATTTCCGTCGCAAAGGAGGACACTGAGTCACTGGAAGAGTTCAGAATTAATGAGGAAGATGTGTTGGATAGACTGTTGATATGGATGTGGCACTGGAACTGGGTGAGATGTATCCAAGGATTTTGAAGGATGTGAGAGTGGAACATGCAAGCACATTGGCCACAATCTTTCAGTCTTCCCCAGACTCAGGAGAGGTGCCAGAAGACTGTAAAATTGCAAATGCCACGCCCAGCAATTACAGACCAGTTTTAGAATTTTTTAGAATTAGGTTTATTGTCATGTGTACTCAATTTGCTAAAGAACAGAAGTACCGTGAAAATTTTACAATGTCACCAACAAATGGCACCATCTTAGGTACAAAATACCTAGGTGCAAATCTTGGGTACAAAAAATAGAGGAATTGAAGAAAAAAAGTTATGCTACATTACAGATATATGCAGTTTAAGTTAGGAAAATAAGAAATAAAGCTAAGAAGATAGTCATTACAGTCTTTCTATAAGGGCTCCCATGAGGTCTGAGCGGGCTCCATAGGTTCCTAACCAGTAGCCATCTTTGCTTCGGGCTGCAGCTTAACTTCAGGATTGGGAAAGACTCTGGAAACACGTGTTCGGGATACAGTTAGTTGTCACATGAAGAAGGGTGGATTGATTAGCATGGATTTCTAAAGGGGAAAGAGTGTTTGACTAACTTGCTGGAGATTTCTGAAGAGGGAACGGAAAGGGTCAGTGAGGGTAATAGTGTTGATGTGGTATTCATGGATTTCAAGAAAGCGTTTAACGCAGTGCCACACAACGCTGTGAGAAAAGTTATTGCTCAAGGAATTGAAGGTAGTAACATGGCTATAAAATTGGCTGAGGGTTGGAAATGGAGAATAATGCATGGGATGGAGGAAGTTTAGTAGTGGAGTTTCCTCGGGGTCAGTATTGGGACCCTTGCTTTTCCTCATATATAATAGTTAGCTGGATCTTAGCATGCATGGGACAATTTCAAAATCTGTGGGTGATACAAAGCTTGGAAGACTTGTATACTGTGAGGCCGATAGTGTGAACTGAAAAAGGATACTGACACATTCGTAGAATGGGCGGATAGGAGGCGGATGAGGTTCAATGCAGAGAAGTGTGAGTTATCCATTTTGCTAAGAAGAATATTGAAAGACAACATAAAATAGGGGGTATGATTCTAATAGGGATGCAGAAGCAAGAGACCTGGGTGTATTTGTGCACAGATTATTGATGGTGGCAGAACAGGTGGAGAGAGCAGTTAATGTAGCATGCAGAGTCTTTGGCTAATCCTTGTTATCTACCACTAATAGTGTTGAGCAATTGAGGAAGTATTGTTATGGGGAAGTGGGAAGGGGAATTCCCAAAGAAACTGCCAGTAAAATCAGAGAGAAGCTCCCACATCATCTGGTGCTAAATTATAAACCAGTGTGACCAGTGTTAGCACCAGTGCAATTTTTTTTATTATTCCATACGGGAAATGTATCAGAATTAGCCCTGGAATTCTTGGTTAGGGTGTGGAACAGTACACGAGGAAATTAGTCACCTTCTGCATTTTCCACTGACCCTTTTTTGTTTGTACATACCTTTCCCGTTACAATAGGAATTCATCAACTCAAAGCATTTGTTTTTTCATTTGCATGTTTGTACAGTCAAATGCTCCAAGCTGATGCTGGTCACTGACTGTGAACAAGTTTTTAAGATTTAGACTTTATTGTCACGTATACTCAAGTACAAAGTACAGGAGTACAGTGAAAAGTACCTAGTTACAAAACTTAAGAACAATGTAGAACGAAATAAGGAACAAAGTTAAAAGTTAAATGTTACAGTCACTCTCAGTAAGTCAAAAAACAAAGAAATAAAGCTAAAAGTTCAAATGTTGCAGTCTTTCTTAAATGCTTAGCCATGCTGGGACCTCATGTCCTACAAGGGCTCGATCTCCTTTGCTTTGGAATACTTTCCCCGCGCTGGCTTATTCTCCCCTGCTCTCGTCATCGCAGCAGATGTCAGGGGGAACCTCCATCATCGCATTGGGTTCGCTCCTGGGATCTCACACTGCCAAAGTCCTGATCCAGGCACCGTCCAAGTCGATAAAGAAGTGGATGATAATTTTACTTAATGGACTGTGCAGGTAATCAGGGGATTTCCGGCCTTCCTGGCTGCTAAACCACTTGAAATTTATTCTTCTTTGAATGAAACCACAGTGAGCAAAATGACTCCTGATGTAAAACAGCGCTCTAACGTGATTGAGGTATCGAGCTGCTGAGATGGTCAAGTTCAAATTAGTGCTCAACGATGGCATGTGATTAAATTTCAGAACTGTGGAGCCCACCTTGAACGTGTTCCTGACTGGTTTCAATGCGAGGTGTGTGGGTCTTAGGGACGATTAACCTGCTCTCGCCAGGCTATTTGAATGTGCTGTTGAGGTTGCGCGTCTCAGTTCTAAGAGACCTTGATCTATCTGGTGTGGTCCAAGTGCTCTAAGGGGTCAGGAAACCCAGCAGTTGAAGGAGAGACAGAGAAGCCAGATCAATCATTTATTGCCCATCCCTTGTTGCCCTTGAAAATGTGGGGTTAAGCTGCTTTCTTGAACTGCTGCAGACCATGTGCTGTGGGTTGACCCACGATGGCCTTAGGGAGGGAATTCCAGGATTTTGACCCGGCGACAGTGAAGGAACGGTGATATATTTCTAAGTCAGGATGGTGAGTGTCTTGGAGAGGAACTTGAAGGTGTTGGAGTTCCCATGTGTCTGCTGCCCTTGCCCTTCTAGATGGAAGTGGTCATGCGCTTGAAAGGATCTTTGGTGAATTTCTCTGGTGCATCTTGTAGATAGTAAAAGCTGCTACTACTGAGTGTTAGGGATGGAGGGAGTGGATGTTTGTGAATGTGGTGCCAATCAAGCGGGCTGCTTTCTCCTGGATGGGGTCAAGCTTCTTGAGTGTTGTTGGAGCTGCAGCCACCCAGGTAAGTAGGGAGTATTCCATCCCACCTCTGTCTTGTGCCTTGTAGATAGTGGACAGTCTTTGAGGAGTCAGGAGGTGAGATACACGCTGCAGTATTCCTGGCCTCTGACCGACTCTTGTAGCTACTGTATTTATACGGCCATCCTAGCAATGCTTATGTAGCACAGGTATTAAGAGTTGGAGGCCTCAACACCAACTCCTTCCAGCTCCATATTCATGAGCTATTAAGTATCCTGATTCATCCCTGGCCGGGACACAGACTCACATGCTAGTTGTTCCATACTCCATATCCCTGGTCTAACAGCAACATAATATTCTTTGAGTATCGGGACTTGTTTGCCTTTGAAAGTGACTTGTCATGAAACACTACATCAGTCTCTAGGGCCAAAATGAATGAATCTTCTCAGGTACCTCTTTAATACTGTCCAGCCATCCCTAGATAATGATCCTTTGTAACTCTTGTAGTTACTCATCTTGGGCCAGTTGGCTCTGGCCAAAGTGAAACAGATCAATCTTCAGACTGTCTTCTAAGTTCCTTCAGGGAAGGAAATCTGACATCTTTACCTGGTCTGGCCTACATGTAACTCCAGACCCATGGACATGGAGTAGATGCTTCACTGCCCTCTTGGGCAATTAGGGATAGGCAATAAATGCTGAAGAAGCTCAGCAGGTCTGGCAGCATCTGTGAAGAAAAAAAATCAGAATTAACGTTTCAGGTCAGTTCTGAGGAAGGGTCACCGTACCCGAAATGTTAACTCTGATTTTTTTCTTCACAGATGCTGCCAGACCTGCTGAGCTTTTCCAGCAGCTTCTGTTTTTATTCCTGATTTACAGCATCCGCAGTTCTTTCGGTTTTTATTTAAATGCTTGTCTAGCCCGTGATGCCCACATCTCATGAGCGAATAAAATAGATTTTAATAACTGATTCAATTTTATCACACTTCATGAGCCTAATGTGGTTTGTATCTGATGAATTGTGACTATACTGAAAGCTGTGCTTACTGCTACTCCAGCTGCCTGGTACCATTGGTGTATAACACGGAGAAGATTTTGGAAGGTCAAGATTGTTTTTTTCAACACTGCGCTGTAATTCTGTCAATGCGTGGATCCAGATTCAACGTATTATTCTCCACCACTTCTGCCACCTGCAATCTGACCCCACAACCAAAGATATATTTCCCTCCCCACCCCTATCTGCCTTCCGCAGGGACCGCTCTCTCCGCGACTCCCTCGTCCGCTCCACATTCCCCACTCACCCGACCATCCCCGGCACCTTTCCCTGCAACCGCAGGAAGTACTACACCTGCCCCTACACCTACCCCCCCTCATCTCCATCCAAGGACCCAAGAAAACCTTCCACATCAGGCAGATGTTCACCTGCACATCCGCTAATGTGGTCTATTGTATCCGCTGCTCCCAATGTGGCCTCCTCTACATCGGTGAGACCAAGCCGAGGCTCAGAGACCACTTTGTAGAACACCTGCGTTTTGTTCGCAACAAAAGACAACACCTTCCAATTGTGAACCACTTCAACTCCCCCTCCCACTGCCACTGCCTGGGTGATATGTCCATCCTGGGCCTCCTCCAGTGTCACAATGACGCCACTCGGGAACCGGAGGAACAGCACCTCATATTCTGCCTCGGGACCCTACAGCCCAATGGTCTCAATGTGGACTTTACCAGTTTCAAAATCTCCCCAGCCCCAACCTCATCCCATGACCAACTCTCCATCTCATCCCCGCCTCCTTGACCTGACACAACCTGTCCATCTTCTCTCCCACCTATCGGCCCCTCCCACCTCATTGACCAATCGCCACCACTGCCTACCTGCACTGACCTATCACCATCCCACCTACCTTCCCCAGCCCCACCCCTCTTCTCTATTTATTTCAGAGCCCCCTCCCCTACTTTTGAAGAAGGGTCTCGACCCGAAACGTCAGCTTTCCTGCTCCTCTGATGCTGCCTGGCCTGCTGTGTTCCTCCAGCTCCACACTGTGTTATCTCCGACTCCAGCATCGGCGGTTCTTACTGTCTCTTTAGATTTATGACATGTGGTTGCTAATCAGATGAGCTAAGGAAGGCTCCTTGCCAGGGTCAATCCCGCTGAACAAACCGGAAGAAAGACCTAAATCGCCTCCCGAACTGTGGACGATCCGGGGGAAAGTAAATGGCTGCTAACCTAGAGATTGATTTGTGTTGTCCTGTTTGCCTGGATGTCTACCGAGACCCGGTGCTTCTCCGATGCGGCCACAACTTCTGCAGAGTCTGCATCGAGAGATACGTAGAGGAGTCAGAGGAACCACTGACCTGCCCTTTCTGCCGAGCAGAGTTTGAGGAGGATTCGATCTATTGCAATCGGCAACTGGCCAACGTGATAGCCGGAGTGTTGGACCTCCGGGTCAGTGCCGGAGCGCAGGATGGCGACCTGCAATGTGGGAGACATAGGAAACCTCTGGAACTTTTCTGTCAGGACGACAAACAACTCGTCTGTTTGATCTGTGCACTCTCCCAAGATCACAAAGGTCACAACTGCGTCCTGAAAGATGAAGCGTATGAGGAATGCAAGGTTAATATCCTTTAACAGATTCACACACCAGCATGTTCATATAATCACTTCCAAACTGGTTGGGTCGGGATTCCCGTTGTATGTGTTCGGGTAGGGTGGGCAACTCGGGAACTTCCCCTTTCCGGTCCTTAGTTTTGTGAGTAACCTTCAGTTCCTTGTCGACTGGGACGTGGGTGTCACTGACTGGACGAGCATTTCCTGCCGATCCCTACTTGCTCTTGAGAAGGTGGTGAGTTGCCTTCTTGAACCGCTATGGTCCGTGTGCTGTTGATTGCCCCACAATGCCATCCGGGATGGAATTCCAGGATTTGGACCCAGTGACAATGAAGGAACAGCAATATATTTCCAAGTCAGGATGGTGGGACTGGCTTGGAGGGGAACTTGGGACAAACCCCATCTGAAGGAGATTGGGAGATGAGTGGAGGCTGGAGTTGGTTGGAGGTGTGGGCATGGGGACAGGACGTGGGGGGCACGGTTGGGGTAGTTTGCTGAATGGTCTGCTTTTCTGCACTCAGTTGGCTGGTTAGCTTAATGCGGTAATGCTAACCGCAGGGGTTCAGTTCGCACATAGCTGAGGTTGCAATGAAGGTCCCAGCTTCTCAGTCACTCCTGAGGTGTGGTGTCTGTCGGGTTAAACCACCACTAGTCATATTTCTCCAATGAAAGGGCATTTCTCTGAGACTATCGATGGGGACTTTACTTATGAATTGATTAAAACTTCGTCTGCTTCCGCTAGTCCCTTCCCCCCCTAAGTGTGAACACTTTTTCCCTCAGTCTGATCTGACTTGGACCCCTTGGTGTCCTTGCTTGAGGAGGGATGTAGTTGTAGCAGAGAAGGTTCATTAGATTGATCTTGGAGATAAGGTGTTTGTCTCATAAAGTGACATTGAACAGTTTGCAGCCATACTGTCTGGAGTTTAGAAGGATGAGGGGAGATCTAATTGAGGACAATAAAATGCTGAAGGAGGTTGACGATTAAATGGAGAGAAACTGCAGAGTGCTTTGGCGCAGAGGGATCTGCGTGTTCTTGTGCATAAATCACAGAAAACTAGTATGCGGTACGGCAGGTAATAAGGAAAGCAAATAGAATGTTAACACTAATTGCTAAAGGAATAGAGTATAAAAGTAGGGAAGCGTTGCTACAATTGTGCAAGGCATTAGCAAAACTGCATCTGGAGTATTGTGTAAAGCTTTGGTCCCCTTACCTGAAGAGATGTAGATGTATTGGAGGCAGTTCAGAGGAGGTTCACTAGATTAATTCCTGCAATGAGAGGTTTGTCATCTGTGGAGAGCTTGAGCAATTTAGGCCCATACTCACTAACTTTTAAAACAATGAGGGGAGATCTAATTGAGGTACAGGAGATGCTAGAGGGGATTGACAAAGTAGACATAGAGGATGTTTGCCCACATGGGGCAATCTAGCACAAGAAGTCATGGTTTCATAGGTTTGCAGATTTAAAGCAGATGAGGAGAAATTACTTCTCTCAAAGGATCGTGAGTCTGTGCAATTCATTCCCCAAGAATGTGGTGAATGCTGGGACACTGAGTAAATTTCTGGAGGAGATACAGATTTTTAAATAGTAATGGGTTGAAGGGTTATAGAAAGTGGGCAGTAAAGTGGCGTTGAGGTCAGTCACACCACCATTAAATGGTGGAGCATGCATGAGGGGCTGAATGGCCTACTCCTGCTCCTAGTTTGTATATTTGTGATTGAACCTGCACCAACATTCCATGTCAATGAGCAGTGCCCAATCACCAACTTATGACTAGGAAGAAATCTTTTGACGATTTGCTCTGACTTGTGTATCTTAAAGGAAATACTGAAATGTGAAATTGCATCGCTGGAAGAGGAGTTTAAAAACTATACGACAATGCGCATGTCACAGGGGCAAAACATCACTCGACTATTGGTGAGTTTCTGAATAGTGCATTTAAACATTGTGCACAGAACGTTATTTGCCACAGTACCTTGTGACTATTAGTGACTCTTCTTTGACAGGAAGGATAACAAAGTGGAACTTGATGCTGGGCAGAAGTTGAAATTGGGATGTTGTTGTTATGCCCTTAGCCAAGTATTCAGTTCCACTTAAGTCAATGGATTGGAGTATTCGACTGTAGGATGGTGGAGGGGGATAAGTGAGGTTGAGGGCAGTGTGAGATGGATTCAATACTGCCTGAATACTTCATCTCTAGAAATAAAATTCAATTTCGGGTGTGGGACTAAGTGATAGGGACTAACAGATTGAGACAATAACTGTCGCTTTAAGGTTAGCCCAAATGAAAGGGGTTTGTGGCCTCATCTGATCTGTTCTGCAATTATGCATTGTTAGAGACATAAAGTGTGACAATACTGTGTCGGTGAGGTGTTAAAAAGGTGTATTTTGTTCTGGGATTTTTATGAAGAAAGGTTGAAACAGAGGTGATGATCAGTCTGCTTCAAAGCCCATAAACAGTTTGAGGCCTTGGTTTTTTTCCAAGGCTGGAACAATAGGAGCAGCCTGAATGGTTGGGGTCAAGCTCCCACAGAACCACTTTTTAGTTTTAGGTTTCCAATAGCAGTTGTTGCCAGGGTCTTGCAGCTGCAGTACACCTCTCCCTGCTACTCTCTCTCCTCCCTCTTCCCCCTCCTCCCCCTCTCGTTCCCAACATTTTCTCTTGATGTTTTTCCTCCTGGACTGGAGAATTGCATGTGAGACGATCTATTTTACTGAGTTTGCCTTAGCCAAAGGTATGTTTATGGGATGTTATTCTATCGGAACAGTTAACTAGTAGTAGTTAATAACATCTATTACTTTAAGTATTTTGATAAAGTTGCAGTTAAGCCAATTCTCTTACTTTTATTTTGTCTGTATTTTAACTGTAGTGTAAAAATAAAGTTTGCTTTACATTGAATAGTTTTTCCAATCAAATTGCATCTGGAATGCAACACTTCCTTATTTTGAAAGTAAAATGTAAAGCTAGAGTCTGAACTATTTTCTCAACATATTTTGAGGGGGTTTGGTCTGGTCCATAACAAAAAGAAGGCTTAGATTCTTTTGCAGAGAAGGTGCAAGGTATTTAATAGGGTATTTGGAGGAGAACAGATACTGTGTCTCCTCAAGCCCCCAGATGCTGTTGAAGTTTGAGTTGTAGACAAAGGTGCTATACATTGTCCACCCCTTTCTAAGATGAAAGGGAGTTGGGAAGAAGGACTGCCAACTATTATTTCTGCCTCAGTGTTTTGTGTTGCCAAGGATGGCAGATCAGACCAATCAATAAATATCATAGGCAGACAACAGAGATTCAGCACAGTCAGGAGAGAAAAGACAGTGTGACTTGAAATAATATCACAGCTGGCTGTGTGTGATGGATTCAGTCATTAGTTGTTGAGATGTATCCAGGAGTCCAGAAGATTTGTCCTGGCATTGCTGGCAGAAAACAAATGATTGAAACAGGTTTCCCTGCTGGTGCTGGATTTAAGGAGCTCTCCAAAACCTGGTGAAAGTGCCTGGGCTGGTCACTCAAAATTGGCATTCGGTGAAATGGAAATACAAAAACATATTAGAAGCTATTTAGTTGTTTGCTGTAAGGACTGTAATTCTGTGGAGAGTGTAACAATTGAGAAATATAAAATATGAACATCTTTCTTCTGCAAAAAAAAAGTTTAGCCAATAGTATTTTTTGGTCATTTGTTACAGTAAAAGTCTTAATGTGAAACCTTTGTGGGTCTTTCCTTCAGCTAATGATTGGAAATTCAAATCTCTTTTTTTAAAAATGATCAGTCTGTATGGAGTTGTAACAGAATCCATGAAAATGTTGATGAGAATGTTGCTATCAACTCTCTGTAGGACATGACAGAAAGCTTAAGAGAAGAAATTGCAGAGAAATTTGAAACCTTGCACAATTTTCTGAATACGAAGGAATGTGCAATCGTACAGAACCTTGCAGAAAAAGAAGAACATATTCTGAAACAACTGGAGGAAAATGTTTTGATACTTTCAAGAGAGTGTGACAACGTGGAAGCAATAATACAAGACATCTCTGTCGTGGTAAAGTCAGAAGACAGCAACCAGTTATTGAAGGTGTGTTAGTCTTCGGAGTCTGCAACAGAAATGATTTGACTTTACATTCTGGGACTTATCTTCTAAAAATTGTGCAGTAGCTCTCAAAGATGATCCTGTAAAATAACAATCTGTTTTCTCTCATTCTCAGGAATTTGCCAACCTTAAGAAAAGGTATGTATACTGTATGCATTTGTGTTGAACGCATTGTGTCTAAGCTGATTTAGTTAAATTTCTAGCTACCTTCTGCCATAATGGCACATGTCGGACCATGCAAATGACATAATTAACTAAATGGGCCAATCATGCTTGTTGTCCACTTTCTAATTGATGTTGCAGTGAAAAATTGGGAAAACATTCAGTGAGAGGACGATTCATTTTCTTTAACTCCTCTTTAATTGAAATTGGACCCTATATCCCGGTTGAGGCTAAACCAAAGATCCATACAGATTCATTTATAACATCCTGGCTTTTGTACTTCATGCAGTATTAAAAGACCAATGCTTTATTCCAGAATTTCACAACCTGCCCTGATACCTTTAATCACTTTTGTACTTTTAACCTGGCCACCTCCTTTTAAATTGTACCGTGTAGTTTAGATTGCCTCACCTCATTTTTCCAACCAAAAGGAGTCACCTCTGCATTAAACTTCACCCTCGTTTGCCCATTCCACCAACCTATCTATGTCTGTCTTCCTGAATTCGATCACTACCCTTCATCTCTGTTCACATTGACTGATCTTGCACAGCAATTCCAGTTTCAGCTGATCCCTGTTAGCCCCTGGACTGGTTTTGTGGCTGCCTGAAGTGTGATGACCTTCAGGTTAAGTTCTCAGTATTTGGAGAGGGGGGCCTTGGTGACTTTACTTAACTGTTTGGCACTAGAGATTTGAAGGATGTGGGGCATTCCCTGGCTTTTGGATGGGGAGTATTCAAAAATTCACAACTTTCTGATCCCCATACGCTGAGGCCCCTGGTTCTAGACTGTCCAAGCAGCAGAAGCAACCTCTTAGCATCTGGCTTATCAAGTGCTTGCTTGCTGTGCTCTGTTTTGTACACGTGTCTGAATGTGCTCCTTGTATTCATTAACCATTCAATGATATAATGACATTTCAGAACTGCATAATATTAGATATATACAATAATATAATACCGCCTTGAATCCAGTAATAGGCACTAGTAAACCTCACTGCTTTGCTGGTGTGTATTGATGAAGAGTATCTGTATTTTTCACTGTTCTAATTCATCTTCAAGAGTTCAGTCAGACCATGTTAAAATGCTTGGGTTTCAATTCTATTTTTTCTAAAGAAACAGCATTTTAATTATTATTTTAACCCAATTAATTGGTGGGTTTTCAAAATTATTTTACCTTTGAATTCATTTGTTTTGCATGATCAGGGTTTGTCAAGGTCTGGCAGCATCAGCTGGTTTTCTGTGACCAGGTGTATCTTAATGTAACTTGCAGTTAATTCTCATTTTCTGCCTGTGACTGATAGGGGATGTAAGATGCTTTGTTTAGAAATGTTTTGCCTCCTCCTGCCATTCCTATTGATACCAAGGGTGAGTGGGGAATCCCCCATACTTCCCTGGTGTGTTGCCTTTCAGGAGAGGGTACACGGTTGTGACATATTAGCAGCATTTACACCTGTGGACTTCAAAGTCAATGGCAGAAAATGTCCATTTTCCACTAGCATCCAAAGTTAGTTTTATCCCTTGGACTGCTCATTTGCCAGAAGCCTCCCCTGATTTTGTTCTCTCTCCAACTCTCCTGCTCCTGTATTTTTGAATGGATTGACAACTTGATTGCTTGCTCTGCACTGACTGAGAAACTTGGAACATTATGAAACAGGATGGCGAATTTCTCCTCTCCATTCATCCCATTCTCTGAATTTCCTTTTTCATGTTAATTTCTTGCAGGGAACCAGAATCGGGAAGTCTGATTATTTAGCATTGGCTGTCCTGTTTAACAGATCAAAATGGATCTATTAAATTAGACAGCAAGAGACTTAGAATGCTTTTATTGTAAAATTGTAGTTTAGCACAAACACCAGTTTCCACCTTTCCCTTCTGGATCTTTGCTCTGTCCAAAAGCCAACCCCTGTACCCTTGGGAAAGAACCAAGCTCTTCTTTAAAAATTTGTGAAATCCACCACCTAACCACCCAATTAGTGAAAGACAAATTGCAGTATAACAATATAAGAGGGAACCAAATCAAAATAATGTTGGAGGGGGAGACAATGTACTCCGCCTGCCCACCTCCCTCTAAAGGCTTCAAGGATACTGATGGGCAATGCAATGAAGAACCCAATTTTTATTTTTAAATCAACCTGTCCAGAGATGCTAGTGCATACCTCGAGCACAGATAGATAGGATTTGAACCCAGGCCTCTTGGCACAAAGGTAAGGACTATCACTGTGCTACAAAAGAGCCCCAGATCACAACTCCTAAATTACAAATGAGCATCACCTAATCTCAATCATTGTTCTGCTTAACCTTTCAAGCAACCTTCATTTCTAACATTGATAACACCCTGAGTAGTGTTGTGGAACAGAGACCTAGGGGTTCAGATATGTAATTCTTTGAAGTTTGCATCACAGGTAGACAAGGTGTTTAGCATATTTGCCTTCATTGCTCACTCCTTTGAGTATAGGAGTTGGGACATCACATTGAGGTTGTACAGGACGTTGATGAGGCCTCTTCCAGAGTACTGAATGCAGTTCTGGTTGCCTTTGCTATAGGAAGGATATTATTAAACTGGAGAGGGTTCAGAAAACATTTACCAGGTTGTTGCCGGGAATAGAGGGTTTGAGATACAAAAATAGACTGGAAAGACTAGAATTTTTTCACTAGAGCATAGGAGGTTGAGGGGTGACCTTATTGGAGTTTATAAAATAATGAGGAGCATAGATAAAGTGAATGACTGGGATCTTTCCCTAGCACAGGGGAGTTCAAAACTTTGGGGCATATTTTTAAGTTGAGAATTTTTTTAAAGAAAAAGACTAGGGACAACTTTTTTACAGTGGATTGTGTGTGGAATGAACTGCTAGAGAAAGTGATGGATGCAGCTATAAGTACAATGTTTAAAAGACATTGGGATAAGTTCATGAATGGGAAATGTTTGGAGATATGGGCCAAATGCAGGCAGATGGGACTAGTGTTGTTTGGGAACATGCGCGGCATGGATTGTTTGGATCAAAGGGTATGTATAATTCTATGATAGTTGGAGGATACTAAAGCAAATTAAAATCTGAATCATTGAGTTCAGGTCTTTTCTGTGCATGGTGAAAAATACAATGCATCACAGTACCTTTGAGAGGCTGTTGATCAATCCAATGCCATATTCCTGTTAACTGTTTAATCTTTCATGTTTTGCTAAGTAGACGACAGTCTGAGATGGTTAGATCCTGCTTTTCATTACCACTTTGGCATCCATTTTTGCCAAATTATTCCACAAACACAGTAACACAAGGAGTTGTACCTTTCTGAAGAAATAAACTCAGTTATGCTTGCATGTTACAGATCTGAATCAATTTACGATCCGATACTGACGAGACCAGATGTCAATTTGGATGAATTTTATGGTCCTCTACAGTATGGAGCTTGGAAACAGATGAAGAAAGTCATTAAAATAGGTTCATTCAACATTATCATTTTTCTTTGTCTTTAGTTATGGTGCTTCTTATGCTTGGAACATGTTTCATTTAATTTGGAGCTTTTAGTTAAGAATATAATAGGAGCAGGAGTAAAGCTTGTGTAAATGGTCTCTGAACATCTATCCCAACAATTTCTCTTATAATTTAAGACCTGTTCTGAACGTCTTCTTAACTTTCTCTGATCTAAGGAGAACTAACCAGATATTTTTGGTCTCTGTGCTCAACCCTGGTACCAAGGAAGCAATTGCATCCAGTTGCACCAACTCCAGTGCCTTGACATCAAAAAATATGCCCCAGGGCATGTATAGTGAACATTGATGGGCATGAGAACAAAGTTTTTTTCTTTCTCCATTCCATGTTTGCTACAGTGAACTAAAGAGAAGTTAATTGGCTGCTTATTTCTAATTCCCTTCCAGTTCCGAGTCCAGTTCGATTTGACCCCAAGACAGCCAATCCTCGCCTTCGCATATCAAATCTTGGACGTAAACTGATTTACTGCGAAATACAATCGGAGCCGCCAGCAACTCCTGAGAGATTTACAAACCACCTCAGCGTTGTCGCCTCGTCTGGATTAACCTCCGGAATTCATTACTGGGAGGTAAATGTGAGCGAAGGCTCTGACTGGTATCTCGGAGTGGCCACAGCATCCGTCAACAGGAAGGTGCGTGTCGTAACCAAGCCGGAGAACGGCTATTGGACCATAGCCCGCAGATGTGGGGTAAATTACTTTGCTTATGGCAGAGAAAGAGTGATCATCAATCCTGATATTAATCTAGAAATGGTTGGCGTTTACCTCGATTACGAAAGAGGGAAGCTGTCCTTTTATGATGCCGAGGATATGTTCCATATTTATACGTTTAGTGATACGTTCACAGAGGAACTTTACCCGTATTTTAGCATCAATTGCAATGAGCAGTCTGTAGCGCCGACCTTAGAGCTGTTTCATCTGGATTTGTGATCACCTCCTTTTGATTCGGAGCTTCTCTCACAGTAAAAAAATTGAGCATGACAAAGGCAAAAACACTGAATCTAGCATTTTCCAACGTCATCTTCACTCTTAATTGCCCTGAGTGGGTTGCTTGGACAGCCAGAGGTTTTTCTATAAAGAAAACATAAGAACGTAAGAACTAGGAGCAGGAGTAGGCCATCCGGCCCCTCAAGCCAGCCCCGCCATTTAATAAGATCATGGCTGACCTCTTTGAGACTCTGCTCCACTTACTCGCCCACTCACCATAACCCTTAATTCCTTTACTGTTCAAAAATTTACCTAGCCTTGCCTTATAAACATTCAGCGAGGTAGCTTCAACCGCTTCACTGGGCAGGGAATTCCACAGATTCACAACCCTTTGGGTGAAGAAGTTCCTCCTGACCTCAGTCCTACATCTGCTTCCCTTTATTTTGAGGCAATGCCTTCTAGTCCTAGTTTCACCTGCTAGCGGAAACAACCTCCCTGCTTCCACTTTATCTATTCCCTTCATAATCTTGTGTTTCTATAAGATCTCCCCTCATTCTTCTGAATTCCAATGAGTATAATCCCAGTCTACTCAGTCTCTCTTCATAATCCAACCCTCTCAACTCTGGAATCAAACAATTGATAGTTACATGGTCACTGACACAAGGTTTATATCCCAGCTCCATTAAATTCCACTCATGGCTGCAGCAGCGTTTGAACCCAGACCAAGGACACTTCAGTTGGGTTAGAAACCTAGTAAATATTACCATTAAACAGTGTCTATCCATTCACATGGTTTTGATACATGCTGTGATTCATTTAATGGATTTCATTCCTGGGCAATGGGTGTACGCATTGGTCATGCATTATCAATATTGATATTGTTTAAAATGTAATAAAGAACGCAAATTAAAAGGAGATCTGTAAATAAGCTGGCAGACCTAGCAATGTGCTGCTTCCAACAAACTGGGAAAATTTAATTGTATTTCATCAGCCCACTACAATAAAGCCAGGTTTGAATAATTGACATAATTGGCTGATCACATGTCTGCATATTTTTTGGTGATGCACATAAAGTATCAGTTGATTCTCAGATGAAATATAACATGGGCTGCTGCATTCAATACCCAAATTTTAACAGCATGGTGTACCTGTACGGGTTTATCTGTATTCCAATCAAACCAGAAATGAGTTTGAAATTGGTGAGAATTCATGGGGCAGCAACTGAAATAATTACTTAAGATGCCATTACTTATGTTCTTTGTGACATTCTTACATTAGCAGTGACTTGAACTATCACCTAGAGAAACGGGTACAGACTGAACTGTCCAGCTGCCTGGTTTTGAACTGTGACAAAATGCCTGCCTCATAAATGCAGTTCCTGAATTGGATCAGTGCGTTGAGGTTATTGGTAACATGCCCTCCACCCTGCCCCATACACAAAACCAGAATCAGCTCTGTTATAGATGATGCAGCAGAATAGAGAGGAGAGGCACAGATCTGTGCAGGTTCTGAACTGGAAGTCATGCCATGAATGAGGGCATCTGAGCTGTGTCTGGGAGGTGGTAGAGGTTGAGGGTGGGAAGATGGGTGATCTGGGTTTACAGGCCAGACAAGTGACCTGAAGAAGGCCAGGTCCACCTTCCAAGCCAGATGCTTTGCCAGTCCTGGAGAGAAAGAGAATTGGGGGGGGGGGGTGCGGGTGTCCCAGAGGGGTCAAGCACAGAATGCTTAAAAATCCAAGCTTATAAACAAGAAGGGTTGCATTGCATTTCTCAGTGGAGCTTATCATGTTCTTTCTCTTTTCACTGCCGGTAGATCCTTAGTAAATATCTGCCTCAATTCTATTGAGTCTGCAGCACAGAGCCATGTGTTAGCTCAATTAGTGTCTGTCAGTGTTTGTTTCACATGAAAGTCATACCTTATCTTCTCTTGCCTGAGGCATGGTGATCCTCAGGTTAAACCACCATCAGCCGTCCCTCGCTCTCTTCCCCCCCCTCCTCGCTCTCTCCCCCTCATGTGAAAGCAGCCCCATGGCCAGTAGGACTATGGCAAATTTACCTTTTCCCTATGGCCTCTGAGCGGGAAAAATGTGGACCAATAGATTTGCAAGAAACCTCCAGAAGTGGAAGAGAATTTATAATGGGAGACAAGACTGGGGTGGTATTAAGCATGAGGAGCATGAATTTCACCAGTTTGTTCTATTGGAGAATTTCCCACAAGGGAGAGGCACCGCTGGAATTGGCATTTACGGATAGAGGTGAGCCCAAAAACCAAAATCGCTGGAGAAACTCAGCAGGTTTGGCAGCATCTGTGGAGACAAAGACAGAGCTTATGTTTTGAGTCCAGGAACACTTCTTCAGAAGGGACAGTGGCTAGGAAGAGATGGTATGTAAGCTGATGTGGGGAGGGGTGCAGGGCAGGGGAAGTGACCAGAAAGGTGCAGCCTAAAAAAATGACAGTTAAGGATACAAAGGGATGGAAGATGGCAAGCCAGGGAAAAGGACAAACACCTCAATGTCGACCATAAGCAGGTGAAGATGGTTTGGCTGGATCAGGTGTCAGTTGGCAAGATTCTGAGAAACGGTCCACCATTGTATCATATGACTTAGATGGGCCACAGAAATTGTTAAGCAGCAACTTGCCTTACAGTGCCAGGGAACTGGGTTTGATTCCAGCCTCCGGTGACTGCCTGTGTGGAGTTTTCACATTCTCCAGGTGTTATTGTGGGTTTCCTCCCACAGTCCAAAGATGTGCAGGTTAGGTGGATTGGCCATGCTAAATTGTCTGTAGTATCCAGGGATAGCAGGTGAGGTGAATTAGCCATGGGGCTATGGGAATAGGGAGTTTGGTTTTTGAGGTATGCTCTTGAGGTCAGTGTAGACTTGATAGGTTGGATGGCCTCCATCTGTGCTGTAGGGATTTGATTCTATGAGCCCAGGGTAAGAAAATGAACTTCGAGAGGAATGACCAAGGAGAACAGATTAATGAGCTGGCTTTAGATGGAATGCCTTGGATCCAGTTGATTTTCTCGCATTTTCTGATGTCAGACGGCAACATCCCTCTCTCCTTTGCTTCTTTGCCTGATTTCTTACTCCCAGCACCCTTCCCTTTTTTTCTGTCCTACAATCTCTACTGCCTTCCAACTTCCTTGCTGACAGCCTTTCACACCTTTTTAACCTTCCCAATTCTGATGGAAGGTAATGGGCCTGAAACCTTGACTCTCGCTTTCATTTTGAAGAATGAGAATTATTTGAAATGTACAAAACACTAAGAGATGCAGGTAAGATGTTTCCCTTGGTTGGGGAATCTAGAATAAGGGTCCGCAATTTAAAAATAAGGGGGATACAACTTAGGCGCAAGCTGAGGAGAATCTTTTATTACTCAAAGTTGTGAAACTCTGGAATTCTCTACCACAGAGGGCTATGGAAGTTCAGTCTTTGAGTATGATTGAGCTAGATTACCAGCGGTGTACAGGGTTATGGCCATACTTCGAGTAAAGGCATTAAGGTGCTTGATCAACCACAATCTATCTGAATGGCCTACCCCTGTTCCTATGTGTCTACATTTTCGTGGCAAAATATGTAAAGTGAGGACAGTGCAGAAGTTCAAAAAGACATTGACAATTTGATGGAGTAGACAAATACGTGCCAGATGATTGATGAACAATCAGTACAATGCAAAGGGTCCTATTCTAAGGGAGTGCAGGGGCAAAGAAATCTGGGCGTATATGTGTGACAGTCATTAAAGATGGCAGAAAGAGCTGTCAATAAAGCATACAGTATTCTATCATTAATAGGGGCATCAAGTACAACAGCAGAGGTTATGCTGAATTTATACAGGACACTGGTTAGTCCAAAGCTGGTGGACAATATTGGGTATAGTTCCGAGCACTGGACTTCAGAAGAATCTGAAGGCAGATGAAGTTTCTAAGTATGGTTCCAAGGATGAGAAACATCAGTTAGAAGGATAGATTGGAGAGGTAAGGACTATTCCTTGGACAAAAGAAAGCCAAGGGGAGATGTGGTAGAAGTTTTCAAAATTGAGGGATCTGGACAGAGTTGATAAGAGAAATTGCTCCCACAGAGGTAAAAATCCAGAGAGGACCTGACAGTGTGGATAAATAGAAACCACTCCCATTGAGAGTGGACAGGTAGAAACCGCTCAGATACATTTAATGCACTCGATTGGATAAACATCTTGTTTAAAAGAATAACAATTATTTGAAATAACTGGCTGGGAAAGTGATACAAAATCATCAACCTAGCCAGTGAGGTTAGTCACAGCAAATGAAGCTAAATGTTTCATTAAGCCAATCACCGTTTGTGGAGACTTTTTGACATTGCAAAATATTTTCACCATTGATTATTATTTCAGATTTCTTTCATACATAATTAGTCTGACACATTGAACCTATAGTTTTCCTGAGATTGTATAGCATTTTAGGCCAGGTTTGACTGTGCTCATTTATCCAAAGTGCAAATCCCACTCTGTTCCCTGTTCTATCCCCCATGCCTTAATCTTCCTTATTAACTGTTTGTCAAACTAAGTTTCAGAAATTATTATTGAATCAGTTTTCTTCACCCTTTCCCTCAATACACTCCAACTGTCATGATTTGCTGTGTAATGTTACCTGTCATCTCCTTCTACCTGCACATTGTTAAATACTTTAGAAGGAAAACATTAATTACTTTAAAAAGGGAGATCCAGGAAGGCACCAACACAGTAGGTAGTGTTTGGACTCATTGGAGCCCCTCCACTCCAATCTGGTGGCATCATCTCCATGGACTTTTTGCCCTTTTCCCTTTTCTTCTTCCTTTCTTCTTCATCTTCAAGGCCAGACTGGTGTTGGCAGGGTAGTGGCTACAGCATCAGCAGAATGGACCGGGACTCCTAGTAGGGCCCGGGGCCTGCACTCTTGGTGGCGGTAGGCCCAGTGCCTTCACTCTTATGGCAGTAGGCATACGCCTGGACTTTCGGCAGCAGCGGTGCCTCAAATAGGGACTCATGGTGGCAGTAGGCCCAGAGCCTGGATTCTTAGCAGTGGAGGTGCCTAGAGTGGGGACCCCTGGTGGCAGTAAGTTCAGAACCTGGACTTCTGGCAGTGGCCATGGCCAGACCCTGGATTTTGATGCTGTTGGCAAGGCAGCAACAGCAGCAGAACTGGGGTCTCCTGGGACATCGGTGGTGTTATTGCTGTTCCCAGAACTGGACTCCTTGAGGACTGGAACATGTTGCAGAAGCCCTCTGTAACTCAAAATGGCACCGGATTATGGCAACAAAACACTTTTCACTGTATCTTTAAGATACGTGTGGCAATAAATTCATTCATTCATTCATTCATTCATTCATAC